TATGATTTTCTATATTTATATAAAAAATATATTTATAGATAGTTTATTTTTTAAAATAATCATTACATTAAATAATTTGGTTTACTTTAAATATGTTTTGGTCAGATTTTGCAAGTGCTTTGTTGAGGCCTCTACTCCTCAAGATTGGTAGTGGGAGCACTTACAAAAGAGACTCTTAACATTCAAATGAAAAGGGATTTAACAAGTAGAAGATAAATGAATTGGTTGGATTATAAGTAATATACATGTGCCCCTTTATATAAATGGAGTTATTATCTTTTAAGTAATTATCTTTAAGTGCATATATATATATATATAGAGAGAGAGAGATAGGAGAGATTCTTTTACTCCAAGAGTAAGTCTATCTAAACTTACTCCGTTTAATAATTCATGTTCTACATTAAATTTTAACAATCCAACCGTTCAATTTAAAGTTCTTAATGCATATATTAAATCTTCAAATTTTTAGAAAATTTAAAAATCATTTGGTACTTCGTTTCATTAATTCAAATTGACGGATAATCATAAAATTATTTTATACATTGATTTTAATTAATGAAACGAAGTATCAAATGATTTTCAAATTTTCTAAAAATTTGAATATTTAATCTATGCATTAAGAACTTTAAATTGAACGGTTAGATCGTTGAAATTTGATGTAGACTTACTCTTATAGTAAAATGATCTATCCTCGTATATATATATATATGTGTGTGTGTGGGGTGATAATTGGATAATCAACCTAATAACATAAATAATGAATGCTTGTGGATAAAGTACTTCTAATAAAGTTGATTCAAGATAATATCAAGAAATTTTGATAATTATGGTTTTTTTAATAATATTTGAGTTGTGTGGTAACCACCTCTCGTTGGTGTGGTCACCTTGGCCACCTAGACTGTTTGGAGGACTTCGAGACTAGCTTTATATGGATAACACAAAATGATTTGTCATTTCAAAACCTAAAAATTAATTTTTAATTATATTAATATTTTATATGAAATAAAAGAGTAATATCACACGTATAATAAAAATTATCCATCACTTTTATGTTTATTTCTCTTCATCACTTCATTTATTATGAAGAGATATTATTAATAATGGAAAATAATAAATATAAAAATAATGTTGTAAAAGTTGTTGTACATGTACCTTTATTCTAAACAAAATAAGATGATAAAACTAAAATAACATGATTTAATGTTTTAATATAATTTTTTAAGACAAAAACATATTATCCATTTTTTACCCTTGGTTCCTTTATTATTATTTTTTAATTTATAATTTTGGTCTTTTTATTTTGAAATAGAGACACTTATCTCCTTATTTTTAAAAATACACAATTTTGGTCCTATCTCAATTTAATATTTGTTAATCATTAATTTTTGATGTTGTAAAGTATTCTATCACCACTTAAATGATGTGATATTTAATAATATGTAAAAATAACGTAAAAAAATATTTATTTGTATATATTTCAAGGAATTATGGATATTTATTTTATGAATAAATCTTATTTGAATGATTTTCTTTAATTTTTTTAATCTCTAAATGTTATAGTGCTAAATGTCACATTATTTAAATATGAATAAACATTAAAATTTAAAGATTAATGTATGTCAATTTAATAAGAAGACTGAAATTTCATATTTTTAAAATTATGAAGACTAAATATCTCTATTTTAAAATATAGACAAAAATACAATCTAGCCAAAAATAATCCTTGATATATATTTTGATAAATAAGATAATGTTTAAATGTGTTTTTTTTATTTATAAATACATATTAATATATTTGAAGTATAATTAAAATAATGATTTTTATTTAAGGCTAAAATCCTATTTTGGTCCCTTATAATAATTGTTTGTTTCAATTTAGTCCTACATTTATTTTTGGTTTCAATTTGGTCCCACATAAATTAATTGGTTTCAATTTGGTCCCAAATATATTAATTGGTTTCAATTTGGTCCCAAATATATTAATTGGTTTCAATTTGGGACTTCCGTCCAAATTATTTAAACGTAGTTAACTTTTGGCCACGTGGATGCCACGCAGATGCATACGTGGATGCCACGTGGATGACAATTTTTTTGAAAACACCTGGATCCAGAACTGTCCGTTCTGAAATCGGAACGGGCCATTCTGGTTTCACTTTTGGTGTGTTAATTTTGCATCCGGAACAGCCCGTTCTAAGTGCAAAATTAACACACCAAAGTGCAACCAGAACAGCCCGTTCCGCTTTCAGAACGGGCCGTTCCGGTTTCATCTTTTCTTTTTTATATATATAAAATATTAATAATTTTATAAA